CTTTAATTATTCCAAACACACACACACGCACGCTCCTGTCCTATAATTATGGGAACATTCCATGTAGGCGTAATGTTTTAATCTACTGTACAAACTGTATTTTCTATCCCCTATACCTACACCTCACACAAAACTGTCTGCATTTTTAGATTTTCAAAGTCTCTTATGCTTTCTAAAACTACATTTATTTGATCAAAAATACATGAAAAAAGAGAGTTATTCTAATATACATATATTATATGCCCTAGACACACAAAATTTTTTTATTGTAAATGTAAGAATAAATTGACCTAAATAAAAATGACAAAAACACACAAAAAATTACTAAAACTTTTATTTAAAGAAATTGAGAACAGATGTATATCAGTATAAAATAAAAACTAATTCAAAATAAAAATTATAATAGTATCTCGGTGTTACATGTCTGTGGTTTTCTGTCTGTGTTTCCCCTGTGACCTAGTTTTCCTTAGTTTCTTGATTGCCATTCTGTTCACCTGTTCCCTCGTTAATTAACTTATTAGTTACTTTGTTTGCTCCTTTACTTAAACCCTCTGTTCTCCCTTTGTCTCTGTCCGTTCTCATTGTTTATGATTGTGTTTGCTATGTTTCTCTAAATTTGTGAGTAAAAGTCTATTTCCAGTTATTCTGCTTTGTCGTGCTTTTATTGTATTATGTAGTTATTATCTGACCAACACGTAACACTCGGTGATAGTGAAATAACACTGGTGTGAGGTTCTAAATGAACTTTATCTAAATGAACACCCCTCTCGTTATTGCCCACATGCTATGGCACTTGTCCCATAGGTTGCTGACCTTATATTATTATGGTTTACATTAAGATTAAGAGATGAATTACAGCCTGAAATCCACTAACAGTTTTTGTTAATATTTTGAATCAATCTCTCCATTTCTCTTTTGTTTTTGGTACACAGTTCCTCTGACTTCCACAACACCTGCTCCGACAACTGAAACAATCAGTCAGACAGGTACTGTACACCTGAAGTCAGCATCTGCTTTGACATCACTGACGTTGTTGAACCAATTCATTTAGCATTTCTGCCTTTTTATATTATCCTAAGGTAAAAGTAATACTTATGATTGTTACAGAGGGATAGTGTAGATGGTCACATTTATCATAATAAGTTTAGAGTTTATACATTATCATCATGGCCTGTCAGTTGTGGCAATTACAAGTTGTCTTTAATTGAGACTGTCCTCCAAAAAATGACCCTACTGTAGGTCGTTTGTGCAACCACCTTATTACGACCTATATTTACATTTTAAAGTTAAGCCAAAGCCACTAGAAGGCAAGCCTGCAACCATTTGCCAAAAAAGCATAACGCTAATTCTAACGCTTCCGGTTTGGCAAGATGTGGGAAAGGAGACCAGAGGCCGTTTTTTAATGGATGTCAACTGTAGCGTTTGGACCAATCAAACACACACTTGTTCATTAGATTTAACAAATCAATTATTCATTAGATTAACAAATAATCACAGACCCCTCACCCAA